TGCATCCCCTGACTGAGGCAAGGGGACTCTGCACATTTTTCTTCCACATGAGCTTGAAGTCTGTCATTCAAATAGCCTCATTCCTGCACCAAACCAAGTCCTAATTAGCTTAATTTCTAGAAACGCCCCTGCAAGTGGAATGAAAAGGGTTAGCAGCAAAGAGAGAGTCTCCACGGGGAGAACACAGAAAGCTTCTTGTCAGCCTGTCAGAGCACTTCATGGGGATAATGTAAAGCCTGGCATTTTCTTTGGATAGCAGTGTCTACAGTAATAATAACAGGAGCACTGTGGAAAAGCATGCATGGTGGGATATTCTTGCCACATTGCCCACCCCACACATACTTGCACCCTGATCACTAAATAAGCATCCCAGGGTTTCTGGGAAATCATCTGCAGTTTGCATGCAAGGCTAGGTCATGCAATCCGGGGCCCCAGGCCACCTACCTTGTGGCATGGCCTTACCCCTGCAGTGGGAGGTAATGGAAGGGCCACCCACATGTAGGTAATTTATCATTCCTCCCCTTTGGGTTGACTGGGACTGCCACACTTCTCAGACCCATTCTTCCTGTCTCTGGGGCCTATTCTCATCCCACACAACTCTAGCATCAAGCATAGGATGGTACATATGAGGGCCACCACCACCCCAGCAAATCCCGATTTGAGAGGCTTCTGTGACAGAACTATCTCCTCTGTAGGACATTCCCAGAGCAGCAGGGCACAGAATTAACATTTGCCTGAAATGCATGGGACATTTTCCTCCCTCTCAGAGCTATTGCTTCAGGCTCATGACTTTTTAACTCCTTCTGCAATCACACGAGCTGGAAGGACAATGTCTTGCAAATTATCTGGTATACTAATGTCATCATTGGCCAGGCCCAGGTATATAGAGCTTATTCTTCTGGCATGTCCAAAGCTCTTTGTTTAGGGGTGGGAATAATGCACATATCTACATTTTTAAATGGGACTGATGCCTCTCTGTTTGACTGAAGATCAGTGTTAAGGTAAATAAAATGGAAAACCTTTACTTTCTTAGGGCTGTCCTTTATAACATCTATTAATATTATCTAAACAGTAGTACCAGTGTGCATGGAGCAGCATGGTACAGTGGCATTAGATCTGCCACTGAGTTCCTCAGTAATTTTGGAAAAAGTCACATCCCACCTGTGTCTCTGTTTCTGCTCCCCACCCTTTATCTGTCTTGTTTCTTTTAGGCTGTAAGCCCTTCTGGATAATAAAGTCTCTCTCACTACATGCACCTAGCAAAATAGGACCCCCATATTGGCTGGGTTCCATAGGTTCTTGTGTAATACAGATAATAATATTTTCACCCTTTTTAAATCTCTTTCCTGTGAGATATGATAATATTTCAATTTAAATCTCTTGCGAGAGACTGATTAGTTTAGGTTTTGTTCGGCTCTGTGTTAATAGTGCGGTTGCACTTTGTTCTTGGGCTACAAATGCATTCTCTAGTCTTGTTTAAAAAAAGAAAGCTTTAAAAGAAAGGCAGAGAAGCAGATTTCAGCTGCAGACATCCAATGAGGGTTTAAACAATAGCAAGAGGAAGCAGAAATATTTTTTAAATATTATGAAAAATGTCTTGAACAACATCTTTTCAATAATAACCCTCTGAACACTTGTTGCTTTGATTAACAAGACCATATCTAAGCCTGCTATTCACATGGCTTGATAAAAACACCATGGGATAGTTTTAGGTTCATTTTGGCAACTTGCTCAATATTCAAGCTGTTTTCTTACTAAACCAGGTACAAAAGGATGTTGTTTAAATGAGAAAAACCTTCTCCTTTATCTACTTGTTCTAAACGCAGTGGGCTCACTTTCCAACCAGGTGAGAAAGTGCTGCCATTTGAAAGTAGAGTCCTCTTTGAATGCGGCACAGGAGGCATAATGAACATGCCTAGTTCAGACTTGGAACATTTCCCAGACCCAAAACGAATGAACACCATGGTGTCTAAACATAAGTCTGGCTTTCTTTCAGTCAAGGGACTTATTAGGTTTGATGCTTCCCTACTACGTTTTGTTCTGCATCTCTAAATCCTCCTTCTGAAGTATTATGTACCAAACACTGAGGAGCATCGTCCCTCTGTCACCATAGCAACCCAAGTGCACTCTAGCAAGTGCTGTGCTCCAAATGAAATATGCAGGCAACCCACATTCTTCTCCCTTCCAGACTAACACAGGGAACTTTACCCAGACAGCACCAAACCAGAGAATACTGCTAAGGACAAGTGGGCAAGAGCCACAGAATCAGCCTCCAGTTTAATAATATATCCTGGACGTAGAGACTAAGCTTATGCCCATCATTTTGCCTGGTGCTGTATAGCCCTGTTTCTCTGGAACACCCAATTCAGAGCTTCTTCTTCCACCCTGCTATTCAAACCTGGCTTACGTTTCATACTTGTTAGGGGCTGAAAGGGACCTTACAGATCATCGGGTCCAGCCCCCCTGCACATGTGCAGGAAAGACAGCTGGGATCAGATGACCCCACCAAGGTGGGCATCGAGACGCTTTTTGGAGATCACCAGGATGGGTGACTGACCACCTCTGGGGGGAGCCTGGTCCAAACCCTCGGGACTCGACTTATAAAGAAGTTTTTCTTTATGCCTAGTCTGAAATGATCTTCAATTAGTTTGTGCCCATTATTTCTTGTCCTCCCCTGGGGGGCCTTGGTGACTAGATGCTCCCTCAGGCCCTGATGTATACCCCTGATAGACTTATAAGTTGCCACCCAACTTGAGCTGAGGGTGTAAGCCTTCTTCCACACAGAACAGAGGGTTTCAGAAAAGCAGTGTCTGGTTAATCAGGGAAGTCTGCTAGAAGACTCCTGACTATCCAGCTGCAGAGGATTCCAGGAAGTGGGCGCACAGGAAATTTAAAAGTCAGGAAAGGGAAAGGAGCACTTAGTCAAATCAGTCTCACTGAAAATGCTCTATTAGAGACCCTCTGCTAAAGTGCTTTAGTGCTGGATTTGAATCACAGCACAATTGCTAGGACAGTTTGCATGTGCGCCAGTTCATGGCATTTAGCCGGCAATCTGCCCATTGTTCCCTTGCTTCCTTTCCTAGGGTGTCTCTTGTCAAATATTGAAGAGCACCTGGATTCCTGATCAGTTAGCTCATTCTTTACTTTGGATACAGCCTCACCTAGTATGAACTGGCCTAGCTCCACTGAAGTCAAAGAAGCTGTGCAGATTTACACTGCCCTGCGGATCTGATCCATCCACTTTGTCCTGGGTTTCATGTTGATGCCAGGAAGACAACGCTTCACTCCACCCACTAGAACTTACACAGAGCCTATCTTTCCTCACACCTCTCGTGACCGGGGAAGGTGAAAAGGGAACCTGCCTTGCTATGTTTCCAGGTGCAAGCACAAACGTTTACTTTCCATCTACAGTGAGTCTTTGTCCAGACTAAGTTCAACAAGAACAACAAAGTCAAGTTAACAGAGCGCTGTGTGCAAATCTCTATAACTGCAGGGACAAAATGGCTGCTAAATAATGCTGAATGGAAAAGATTACACATTTAAAGTGTGTTGCACAGAAAATAGAAGGCATCACAATATCATAGCAACATATATTCCCCATAAATCTGGAACTGCTCAGAAAATGGGAAATACAACTGCCCAAGATATTGCAACATTTCCAAGTTGTTTCCATTTTCTGCCCAATTTCTGGTTTTTGCTAAATGTTTTTAAATCTTTATTTTACTGTGAATTTATATTGAAATCATTGTTTACTGAAAACCTGAATTTTTGTTAAACAGAAACCTTTCCTAACCATTTAAAAAAGAGAGAGACATCACTAAGAATGTTGTGCGACATTTTTTCAAAAATGAAAACTTTTGGTAATTTCAACAATTTTTTTGCACAAGTAAACAAAGGGGAAAGAGAAACATTGTTCAGCTCAAGAACTTTCCAAGAGAAATATTGTGAGCAGATGTAGATCTTCAAGCGTTCACTATACTGTTATCCTTGTGTGTGTAGTACCAGGTATCCTGAATTTTTGTTCCATTTTTTTTTCTTTTTGCAATGTTGCCAGTTAACAAGAAACTTCCACACACATCACAGATTCATGGAGCCTCTGCTTTTAAAATCAGAAGGGACCATTAGATCACCTAATCTGACCTCTTGCATAGCACAGTTATATCCATTTTCCTCTCGTGTTGAGCCCAATAATTGTCTTTGACTAAACACATCCAGTCTTGATATCAAGAGACATAGAAGCCACGGCTCCCTTTGGTAGTTTATTCCAATGGTTAATCATCTTCACTTTTTAAAAAGTGCTTTATTTCTAATGTGGATTGCCCTGGCTTTGACTTCTAGCCATCCGTTCTTGTTCTGCCTTTCTTTTCCAAGTTAAAAGAGAGCTCTTTAGTACCTAGCATTTTCTCCCCATGATGGTACTTAATACACCATAATCAAGTCTTCTCTTGATCTCCTTTTTTTATCTAAATAGAGTGAGTTCCTTCAGTCTCCCACAGTATGCCATTTTTTCAAGGAACAAGATTATTGATTGGTCTGTGCATGAAAGGTTGAGCTAAGATTGATGAAGAAACAGTTTGTGGTCAATTAAATTACACAGCATCCTTCTTATGCCACCCACTCCTAACATTAGGAATCCAGGCACCCTAACACCAACCCTCAGTTTCCTGAAGGATTTTGCACATTTTCTTATCAAGTATCACAATCTGTCCTTCATCAGTAGAGTATCTGAGTACCTCACAGACTCATGAATAGGTTTATCCCTCATAACATCCCAGGAGATAGGGAAATGCTTTTATCACCAGTTTACAAATGGAGAACTGAGACCCAAGGCAGAGCCAGAGATTGAGAAGCCAGAAGGAATCATTATATTCATCTAGCCTGACTACCTGTGTAATACAGGCTAAGTCACTGGCCTGAGATCACGCAGGAAGCTTGTGGCTGAAATAAAGATTGAGCCAGTTTCTAAAATCCATGAGGCAGTCTGAAAAATTCTTTGTCATTTTAAAAGATGTCATTTTGTCCAACCAGCCCTTTCTGGGAGGATGATACCAGTTAATGCTAGTCACTAACCAACAAGCAGACACTGAGTTCTCCTGCAGTCAATGTCTAGATTTATTGACTGAGACAAACTTAATTGACCAAGGCCACATCTCACTCAATATTTGCCTGGAGAGACAATAAATCTTAGCATTGATCAAAGATGAAAGTCAATATGTGTGCATTATTACATCCTTTCCATTGGCAAAAGAAGTAATTTGTGATAGGGTTTTCCATACAGTTTTATTCTGAATTATAACATAGATGCAGCTTGCTAATGCAGAGAGGAAATGCAGGGTTTAAAACCTGGAGGCAGAGTTTGTTCACTACAATCCTACCACAAGTGGATTTGTGGGGCAGGTGTATTTTGAGCAATTAAATTTTACAAACAGGCAACCATACAGCAACAGTTGGGCTTCAGAAGGACTGTCTGACAAATGAAGATGTAATTCTAGTTGGGAAAGTTCAGAGTCCGTTATGACTAACTCTCCACAGAGCATTTGTCCTGCATGAGAATGAATTATGGAAAAGACAAATGGCACGTTAGAACTGTCTCATGGCATGCATTTCAGCAGTGATATATGTTATTCTGCTTAGCAACAAATGATTCATATAAACTTCCAGGATTTCACACCTGTCAGAGGTTTTTAATTATATGGACAGTGCCCATTTTAACAATGGTAACAACAACCTGGCAGAAAGTCATGAACATTTTTTCACAGAGGGCATCAGGCTCTGTAGTAGCTTCCCAATTTCCAGTTTGGTGTCTTTTATATCATGGTACACTCCCAGACAGTACCATTATTCCCAGGTGATACAGATGACCAGTAGTTGTGAAGAATATGGCATTCAGGAAAGTTCACAGCAGAAGCTATTTTCTGCACAGTGGATAATAACCATCTTGGGCTAGATTCCCAAAGCAGCTGCATTTTCCAAGCTTAAGAAAGTGACTTTAAGATTCCTGGCACCACATTTCTCAAGTACTGGTTTTTGGCAGTCACAAAGCCAAAGTTAAGTGAAGGTTCCTAGATGATCACAGTATAAAGATGGCATCTGTTTTTTCTACTTACAGCTCACTGTTTTCTGGATTTCCTTTGGGTCCATTTATTGAGGATGAGGTGTTTGCACACTCTTAAATAGGAGGCCACTTCAAGAAGCAGTTCATTGGCTTTTCTTAAAAACCTTCTTTCCTTTGTTCAGTTGCACTAAGGATGGGAAACTTTTTAAACCTTCTTCCCTGGGAGACTATTGTCTATGAGCTGTTTGCATTGTAACATCATAGAAAAACCATCACCGCATCATGCAAATGTCACCATGGCACTGCAACATGCTCCCACAATATGATACTGTATCAGAGGGCCCAACAGTATTGAATGATATTTCCCATCCTGCAACCATGATAATCACCATATACTGAACTGCTGACAACCTTAATATGCTCCTCCTTTGAAGTGATCCAATAATTAATGGGTTTGAGTTCAGGGACAAGTTGTGCTGGGCTAAGTTATTTTCTTACTTTCTTGCACTCACTAGCAGAAAGTGCACTGGCAAAGGAGTGTCCTAGCTAAGGACCTAACACAAATCTCAGAGAAGTCAATGGGCCTTCTTTCAAGGGTCTGCTTATGCTGCCTCTATATCACACTTGGGATTACTGCCACAAAACACCCCATCGACTCCTACTCTGTGCAGAGTAACTCCCAATGAGACAGTGTAGCTGCTTTAGAGAAACCTAAGCTCATGCCCAGGATTCAAATGTTTAGGAAAACATTTGCCCTTTGGGAGCAGCAGGCTAGCATTTCTCAAGCTACTCACCATCAGGTTGAAATTTTTGTATTCCAATTGCCTAAGAAGAGGTGAGGTTCGTGGGGAGTTAGGTGGCATCAAATGTACAAGGCAATGGGCAAGGTCTACACGTGCCCCTATGGCACTGTTGTTACTGTGCCGTCACTAAATGATTCATAGATTTCATAGATTTCTAGGGTCAGAAGGGACCAATTAGATCACTGAGTATGACCCTCCTGCTCTGGGCACAGTAACATCCCATACTGTGAGTGTGGGATACTACAGCGGCGTAGTATAATGTGTAGATGTGGCCAGTATGTCCTAGTATCATACCTCTCTGCTTACTTCCCCACCTTGTCCATTAAGCCTGCTCCAAGGACTACTGCAGTGGTTCTCACATTTTTAGCCTCAAGGCACTCTTCGGAGGATGCTCACTCTTTGTCTTCTCTATTATTTTTCCATATTCAAAAAAATGAGTGAATTGTCCTGTTGCAAAAAAATCAGAAACCCACAAGAAGTCAGAATATTTTTGATGCTATGGATTCCTATTTGCAATCTCAGGAGCTTCTTTGTGTAGGTGCTTGTACACCTAATACTGAATGTCCCCCTCAAAAGGATCTCATAACATCCCAGGATGCTGCTGCACCCTTATTAAGAATCACTGGATTACTGAAAGCAGTGGAAGTCTTGCTGCTGACTACAGTAGCCCCAGACAAGCAATATATCATCCAATGTGTGTTTTCAAAGATGAAGGAATTAGGATTCTAGTCAGTTATGTGGACATGGCTGCTACTATGAGGTGAAACTCATTCATGGGGAGGGAAAGTCTCAAGGAGTTCACCAATTAAGTCTCACTTAAACTCTCAAAATGGGACTTAGGGGGTGGACAGGCCTTGCATTGGCCCTCAGCCTGGAGCCATCTGTGATCCCTGAAGGCAGACAGGGTAACAGAGTGGATAGAAAACAGCAGGGGAGCAACAAGGTGGTGTGAAAGAAGGATACTCAAATGAAGGTAGGACCCAGAGAGGGAAAATTACAATGAGGATGTGGAGATGAGAGATGCAAGAGAGATAAACCAGTCTGGTAAACTCATGATTCCATTGTCTTGTGAAATGTCATGTTTTCTTAAGGCCCAAGAGTGTGGCATTGTGAGATTATGTGATAATTTCAGTGCCAATTATTTTTAAGGATCAAATGGGCAGCCCTCATGGTTGCACAAAATATCTGGAAAGTTAAAGTAAAAAAAACCAGATAGCAAATAAAAACAGTCACAGTTTTATTATTTTTTATGAAATGTCATGGTTGGTGGGCCTTGACTTACGAACTTTGAATGTTGGAGGTGAACAATACTAGACAATAAATGGCACTCTCTGACCCCCTCCTGTTAAATACTTCCAGCTCTCCCCTGTAGATTCTTCTTGCTAGGTCTCTCTCATCATGCCCAGACCTCCTGGCTCCCCCTACCTCCCACGTCTCCCCATCAGTCCCTTCTCCCTCCTGTGTATGCTTACAATTGGTTCTGGTGACAGCTGCATTAGCCCTACCCCAGGCTCCAGCTCAGAAGGACTTATCAGTTGGGATTTTTCAAGTAGGAACCACTCAACACAATAACACCCCCCTCCCTCCCACCTCACTGCTTCATGCTCATGGGTGGTATTTCTATTTGTCATTAAGACAAATTGTAATTGTCATTAAGCATGTCTTGTATTTACTCCAAGCAACATACTCTTTGGCACTGGAAAACCAGGCTGATACAATACAGCATTGCTCAGTGCTGTAAATGTATTTTCCCACATGATGGATAGGCATCTTATGGGTTTCAGCTTACTTTTATTATGTAAAGCCTATCTCCCAGTGTCACTTCCACTCAACCCTTACATCATTTACCCATTTCAAGTTCTTTACCAAGTTGTATGTTTTTTGCCTTTTTCTCTGGAGCTGGGATTTTCTGAGGATAGCTGGCTCTGTTCGCTTCCAAATAAAACTCTTTGAAAATCCTCATTGTATGAAGTTCTCCTCACATCTAGTAGATTTTCAGGTAACAGTCTTAGCCAATTTAGGAGAGTGAGAATCCCTTTTTTAGGAAGGTGAGCTGTTCAAAGGAGATGGACTTTTCTGCTATTTGCTTTTTTTAAAAGTTATTTGATATTAAATCCATCTCAATCCTAGTAATAGAAGTTATGTTAAGAGACTACATGCTTGATGCCTCAGAAAATATGTTTCATAGCTATGATTCATGCCAAGGTCAAGACAAAGGGCCTACGGTTTTCAAAGGAACTTAAGATAGGCAGGCACCCAACTTTCCTGGAATTTCAATGCATCAAATACACTTAGTCTCTATTGAAAATCCCAAGCAGGGGATGGCATTCCAACAGGGGTGACTAGGTTCTGTTATCTATTGAATAGCACCAGGTGTGCTCCTGTTAGTATTGGAGTACTTATATGAAAATCCACTGAACACAACTATTGCACTGGATCAGATGATAGCTCCACCATCTCCTTTAGAATTGGCCAGTGCCCTTAGCTTCCAATAGGGGTAAAATTCCCCATGCTTCTAGAAATGAACAAGTGCCGTAATTCTCACAGACAATTAATAGCAGAGTCTTATGCAGCTGATCTTCTGTTACAAATTCCCCTTCTGCTGAGAACAGCAAAGGATAGTTGCTAACCCTGTTCCTATGCCTCAAAATATTGCCTGCCACACATCTGGGGCCATCCTTCTCAGGGGAGCTACCATTTACCCTCGGCTGTTGGGATTTGGGTTTTCAGGACCCAAAGCCCTAATGTTAAATGCCTGAGTGCTTAGTGGCAGAAGCTTCTGGCTGCTAGTGTCAAAAGGGGTTAAATAAGCATATTAACGAGATCCAGTCTCACATGTCATGTTTACAGATCATACGTTTGCCATGTTCTTTGATGACTTTAATAAGCGATCCTTTACGCCAAAGCCTTCACTTGGGAAATATATTTTCTAAGAATTGTTCCCTACTGAAGAGTGTTTCACAGGCCTTTTGTTAATATGATTTTACGGTTTGTTTACAAATGGTTAAATAGCTATTTAACTTCTCTCATTGCCCTCATCACATGCCTCTGGCACTCGCTACTCTAACTAGCTAATAATGACGCTGTCAAAGGCCTCTCCAGGCCTGAGATATGAATTTAAACAAAAAGAAGAGGAGAAATATCATATCACTTACAAAGAATGCAGTTGTTCAAAAGGGGAAGCTTAACTGACTCAGACCCACATGGATAATCTCAGCTCAAGACCACTCTAGGTGCAAGACAGAGAAAAAAATCAGGACTTAGAGAGTCTAAATTGGTCCCTGCATTCCCTTTTTCCCTTGAGAAAAGGAAGCTTGAGTCAACACCCTTGATGACATGCAGGGGCAGGAGGTGCAGTGACACAGTTGCACCCCCTTCCATAATGTAGGTAACATGCCCATGACTCCAGTTCCCCATGGCCCCAATGCCTGGGGCCCCTATGGAGTCAGAAGCATGGCTGGCATCCTGGCCTGATGTGGGATACTGAAGGGAGAGCAGAGGTGAACAAGCAGGGAGCAGGTAAGGAAGGGGGGAGGGGGACAGACACACACCCTGCCACCACTTGTCTTCACTGACCAGGAAGCTCTAGGATGCTCATGCCCCACTTCAGCTTGGCCCCCACTAGGCCCAGCTCAGTGGCAGTGGACAGGTCCCTGCTCCCTCACCCTTGACTGTGTTTCCCCCACCAGCCTAGGGCTCCAGCTACAGAAAGCAGCCTCATGTAGTTCCAGGTTGGGTGCAGGATAGTGATGGTAGTGGGCAGTGCCTCCCTCCCACCTTTCAGCACCTGCTCCCAGCCAGCAGGGAACACCCAGGAAGACTGAGCAGGGATCAGGAGTGCCTGGAATCAGGGACCCAACCACTGCTGCTGTCCCTGGCCAAGCCCAGCACCCCACACAACCAGTTACAGAAAACCCAGGTCAGCTGGGGACAGCAACAGGTCCCCCTCCTCCGCACCAGAAGGCAAACCCTGTTGGAGGGGGAGGGGAGGTGTCTACACTGGAGGGGAAAGGGTGCCAAGACTGGGCTGGGGGGGGGTGGGGCAGGGGATGGAGTCTCACTTGCTTTGGGGACTCAGAAAACCCCTGGCAGCTGCCGACTCATACAATCTATCCGAGGAAGGGGAGAGCGGGAAAGGACTTCAGCCATCCCTGTGGTGTCAGTCCCTAGATCCACCCATGCTGTCACAGCCTTCTTCCAACTCTGCTAGCTCAGCCACTTTTACCGGCGCTGGGAGTGGGCAGTAAGTAGAACCAGTGGGATGATAATCATTCACCACCTGCCCCACGTCTTGCCTACCTGTGCAGCAGCTGGCAAGTACCTAATTCAAGGGAATATGAGGGTTCCTTATGCCCTTTTATCCCCCATATAGACAAGCTCATGACTGAGCCCATAGAAGTGCACATGAACACACATTTTTACTATTGTTTCCCTTCTTCTCTCTCTGCCATTACACCTCAGTTTGTGACACCCACCTGCTGCATCTGGTCTTCACCTAGATGGCCAAATCTGTGAGGAAGGAATTATCTCTTAGTTTGTGTCTGTACAGCTCTCAGTACAGCAGGGCTGTGACTCTGCAGAGGGCACTCCTGAAATACAAAAAAATACAAAATAATGACCTTGGTGTCATTACAGACAAATGGTTTTGCTGGTGAAAGGACTGCTGCTCCTCCTCCCTGCTAAAAATGAGTGTTCAGGTGAATTTGCCTGCCTGCATTTTTTCTCTCACTAGCACTCTTTGTGCACTGAAAGCATTATTGTACATAGCAACCACGCAGAGTCCATCTTCTCAAAGACTGACTCGGCTCTCTTTGCCTGATAATCCTATCCACATCCGCACGTATGTTATGTGGTGCTAGGACTAAATGGGGTAGCTATATTGCAAACCAAGTTCCTTAGAGCTTTTGCTTGTAGCTAAGGCTCCAGGTAAGTCTGCAATGAGAATTCCATGACTACCTCTTTTCACATGCTCGTAACTTTCTGAAGAATTCCTCATGGAAGAAATACATTTCAAGCCCGAAAGTGAGGGGTTTTTTTTTAAAGCCTGAGCAGAATTCATTTCTGAGCTGTGGAAAGTTAAAAAAAAAACCCAACCCTTTCTCCTACTGTGAAAAGGTTGCAAAAGGTTGATGTTGTTTGTGCAGAATTCCAAGTCTGCTTGAGATAACCCTGATGGATCCAAGCCAAGCTTAAAATGAAAAGTAAAAAAAATGGAAATATTAAGCAATTGCAAAGTCACATCTGCACTTGGGAAGTAGTAATAGTAGTAGTTGATGTAATAATTTTAATAATAATAACAATACTAAATAGCAAACTCTTCTTTGAAAGTGTTGGCCCAGAATCCAAGTGTTGGCCCAGAATCCAACTGCAGCCAAAGTTCCCGCAAGATACAGAAGGAGTAAAGCTATTGTCAGCTCTTTTGTGTTCAACCTATCTTTTTGTTTTTTGCTTGTCCAGCACCTGGTGCAAAGGAGTCCTTCTCCATGATACAGTCTCCTAAAATCCACAGTAAAATAAATAATAAACACAAAAATGGGAAGTGCAATGCAAATGGTCTCAGGGAAGATTGACAAATCCATCTTTGTACTCTCCTAAGATCTGCACCCTTCTATTCACCTAGCCAGTCCCTCAGCATAATTTAAAGCAGCCTGCAGGTGGCCCTAAGTTACAGTGGGTGACAGCAGCCTCAGGGAACAACTACAGCAGTCAGGAATTATAAGGAAAGCCAGGCCACACACCTTTTCTCTGGCTATTCCCTGCCTTATACCTGCAGGTAGGCAGGACGGCACAAGAGTCATTGAGCCAGTCTTACATAACCAGACAGTGCCACTTCCTGGGGCTACTTCTCTTATGGTCAGCTGCCACTTCAGAGACACTTTGTCCTAGCTAGAAAGTAGTGCTACCCCAAGGGAGATGTGGCTCCATTATGCATAACAATATTAGCAGTATTAATGTTGACCAATTACAGAGATTGATTTTCTGCTGCTATTTCATTATGGAGTTCCAAATTTGTGTCTGTGGTTGACGTAACAGTATACCTGGGATAAACCAAACCACAGTTTAGTTGGAGTGAATATGGGCTTTTAACACTTAGAGCAGGGGTGGGCAAAATACAGCCCACCAATTGATTTTATCCTGCCTCTGGGTGGGCAGTATGGATGGTGGCACTACAAGGCATGCCTTAGGCGAGCCATGCTCTGGCCCCTGCCTCTGCTGGTGGGCACCGTGGGAAGTGGCTCCGGCCTCTGCTGGCGCTGAGGGGGACACTGGACAGAAGCAGCCTTGCCCACCTGCCTGCCTGGCACTAAGTGGCAGTCTGGGATATTGAGTCTGGCCTGTGTGATATTGGGCAAATAGGTAGCTAGAGCTGCTTCTGTCCAGCATCACTTGCAGTGCCTGGGAGATGCAGTCCAACACCACAGGCCCCAACCTTTGTAATAGCCTTCCCCCCCAGAACCTGCAGAAGTTGGAAACCATTCCTGGAGCCCCTCTCACTTCCCTCACCACCATCTTCAAGAAGTGCACATGAACAAAAACCTCTATGTTGGGGAAACCCTATCCCCCCAACCCTTCCTCCTTATATAACTCTGTCCTGGCCACCTTCTCTGTCTTCCCCCGCCAAAAGAAGAGGCACAAGGCCCACTGGACCCACTGGGCCTGTAGCCAGGTTGCGGGGTACACCATCCCCATGTACAAAATCATCGGCAACAGGCACTGTTTGATAACCCTCACCTTCCCCCTAGATGATAACCCCCATGTTCCCCACAACCCCACCGCCTGTTTCACCCTCCCCTCCAGTACCTCCCATGCCCCTTTCCCTTTCCCCTGGGTATTTATCCATACACCCAGTACATTAAGTTCCTCCCTCTCCACCCGCAGTCTGAATTTCCCCAAATCCCTCCAATCCCCTACCGCCAAGACAACACTCTTCTCCACATTCACCCTTGCCCCGAATACCTCCCCAAACTCATTTGCATGCTTCATCACCCTCTCCAGGGACACCTCATCCCTCACCATGCACATCATATTGCCCCTGTATAAGGGGATTTTTAATTCCCCTCCCCTCAGCACCCTAACCCCACTGATCATCCTATCCCTCCTGATCCACTGTGCCAGAGGTTCAATGGCACAAACAAAGAGCCCCGGCGACAGCGGACACCCTTGTCTCACCCCAGAGCCCATTCCAAATGCCTCCCCAGGAAGCCCCTCACCAGAACACTGCTCATTGCCCTCCTATAAAGTGCCCATGCTGACCCCACAAATTTCCCTGGCATCCCTATCCCTTCCAGAATCCAAAACAAAAATCCATGCCCAATGCTGTTGTACGACTTTTCCAAGTCAAGGCTCGCGACTATAGTGTTCCACTTCTGGTTAGCAATGTTATGATAGTGTATTCTGAAGTACCCAATGCACTTGTGTCATCCACTGCCCCCACCTCCACACCCATTTATTCCCCAACCAGCACCTGCAGTAGTGCCTCCCCCAACCTTGCCACTAGGATCTTGGAGAACAGCTTATAATCCGAATTCAACAAGGTGATAGGCCTCCAGTTTTTTGTGTGTTCCTGTCCCCCTTTCTTATAGATCAGAACCACAACACCCTGTGCGAAACCCTCCCCTACCCAACCTTGATCCATAATTTCCCTAAACAAGGCCAAGAGATCCCCCTTAACGAAGTCCCAAAATTTCACGTAAAATTCCACCGGATCCTGTTGCCTCTCAGTGTCTTCTTTAGCAGCATCGTTTTCAGCACCCCCAGCATCTCACTTTATGTCAATTCATTATCAACCCATCCCTCCCTTCCACCCCAACCTTTGCTTCCAACACC